TCGAAAATTTGGGGGTTTATTTCCATTTTTTCTCAGGCCAGCCTCTCCTACACACCTTGAAGTTTCACAGCTGAGTTCTATTGTCCTGTTCACCAATTGATATTTGATCTCATTGCTGCTGTTCCTCAGCACATTGGTGGTACAGAGTCATTGGAATTGTAAAAATTAAAGATTTCATCCCTTGCCAGTGCAGAATTGTTATTTACTTAGTTTGGGGTATACTTTAATTTTGACTCATTTGGGGACTTTTTTCAATACACCAAGGGTTTGCTCAAACAGGGACACTCAGGAAAGTTAATCCAAAGTAATTAAAACAGTGAATTTAAAGTGGATTAGTTAAACCACATTAAACCCCAGTCCACACTGGGGTTTAATGTGGTTTAACTAATCCACTTTAAATTCATACCTTTAGTTAATTTGGATTAATTTTCCTGAGTGTCTCTGTTTAGACAAGCCCTAAAGCCCCAATACTGTAAACAATTTATGCACACAAGTATTTGTATGTGATGCACTTAATTAGCCTCGATTCAGGAAAGCACTTAAGCTCTGCTGAAATCAATGGAACTTAAGTGTCAATGGATGGTTTTGCCTGAATTGGGACCAAAGGCACCACGTTGCCCTGGACACTCATATTCATAGGAATCATGGTGTATTCTTGCATACTCTTAGAATGAACTTTTTCTGATATCCACCTTATTTTCTTATTGCCCTTCTGCATTAAATCTGTGCATAGTCTTGCTCTGCTCTAACCAGTTTCTCCATCTCTCTCGTGCACTGGTCTAGCAGCTGTGTGGTACATCAGATTATGCTGATGTGACTCTCTGCTGATGCACTGTGTGTTTCAAGATCAGGAGGCTGGTTTCTTTACATCTTTCAGAGCAAGTCTCACATGTGTCAAATTTTAGTTGAGCTAGTCTGGAGTACATGGTTACTTTTACTCTTTCCAATAGTAGTTCATCAGTCTTTATTCCTCTTGCTCACTCCACTTCCCTTGATTCCTTTAAAATTTTTCAGAACACATTAAGTGGTGCCTTTTTGTCAAACTCACATGATGAATTTCGTTATGTTTAACATCACTGTCAGGATGTCAAGCTATGTATTTTAGTAAGAAAGCATGAGATGCTTGGTTCTCTACTGGAAGAAGACATAGTATTTTGTGTTAGGTATTTGTGAAGTGTAATTAATGACAGGAGAATTATACTGAGTCCTATCACTTGACATACAGGTTCATGGAGAACTTACCTAAACTCCACTAAAAACAAGGATTTAAAAATTATTTAAAACTCATTTAAGTTATGGTGTAAACATCTATGGCCAAATTGTATTATAATTCAGAAACAGAGTGGGGTTTTTTTAACTTCTTTAGCACAAGAAGGCTTAGGTGGAGAATGAAAATGACAGAACAAAACTTGTTACTATTTTTTTTCCTTACAATTGGTAAATATTTTTAAATAATGTACAAAAACAGAACTTGAGAGTAATTAAGTGAATAGTGGTGTCAAGTAGACTTTATTCTTAATAGGTGTGTATAGAATACATCTCATTATAGAGTCTAGAAATGACAGAAGTACTCCACAAGTACTTCTCAGTTTCTCTGTGGGGATTCAGTTGATAGAGAAATGTAGCTTCATTTAACTCATGGGAGAAGCTGTAGTCGTAACAACTTTCCTAAGATTTTTTTAAGATTCCTAATATTCCAAAATTTCCTGGATTACAGATCAAATATGAAATCCAAACAAGACACTATTACAACTCAAAATACAACTAAGGTGTGTATATATGTGTGTATATATATTTCTATAAATATATTTGTATATGTACACAATCATGCATGCATATGCATTCAATAAAATGCTTTGTATATAATTCACATTAATATATATTAAAAATCCGTGGGAGTTTTTATATTCTGTTTGTATGCATGAGTTAATTGAGCCAAAAAGTCAAGATTTTTTGCTTTACATTTGATTCAATATATGATAACCAGTTCATATGCAGGTAATATGCTTTACTCCACAGCTCATAACCAAAGTGGATGTCCCCCTCCCCTCCCAAGGACTAGAAACTAGAATGCTAGCAAGCAACATGTGCATTTTTTGCTACAGATACCACCTACATGTTTATAAAACTTAGCTACATTACAGACTAGACCATTTAATTGAACAATGCTACTAATAATGTAATTAAATATAAACCAAGACTTTTCACAATTGCAATGCTGAACAAACTAAAATTTAAACATTATTTCTAGCCTTAAGAATATTTCAGTCAATATCTAATACAAGAAACACTATTTTCTTCACCTATACAAAGCTTACACACCCTTACTTGCCACTCCGCAGTAGGACATATTGTGAACATAAACTGAGACGGTCTAAGCAGTTTGATATTAACCCCCCATAATCTTGCAAATACAGAAATTAATAACACTTGGAATTTATTTTTCCCTTTGTTGGTGCATAAGTAAAGGGATTAATCTCCTTACAATGTTTTAATTTTGGGGTGGAACCTCCATTCATGCTTAAATTGGCATCTAAGTGTTATGATGAGCCTAACAATTGATTGCCAATGAAACAAGAATAAACTACTTTTGGCAGATTCTGCTGTTGTTTTTCCTGCTGGGTTTTGTTCCAGCTTTTATTTTCCATGGGAAAATTTTCATATTGAGAATACTAAGAGGGCCAAATCTTTTAAGACATCCCCTAAGTGCACACACAATTAGATATCCTATGCTCATATAATTACTCCAGTAGTTATTTAGACAACTCGCAATTGCCTGACTTGCATACACAGTGGGAGTATCTGCCAAAGGCAGGTGCATACCTCTTTTTTTTTTTTTTTAAACAGTAGCATAAATCTACAGGCTTATAGAGAAAAGGTTTTGATACTTTCAATACAATTTTTACCTAGTGAGTCCCATCTATACACACATATCTTCAACATGTACTGTAATTCTTCACATTTGCATTTCATCTCCCAAGCACATGTACTTCTGCGTATCTTATCTAAATGTATTCCAAAAGCAGAAAATAGGCATTTCCATGTCTTTACAGTGGACGGGTCACTGTGATATACACAGACTGACTGTAGATGGCTGTATTATTTCTAATTCAAATGCTGTGCCCTGTATCAAACAAAATCATAATTTTCATCACTGAGCTGTGATGTATTCAAAACATGGTATTAGCAGACAAGAAATATATACTTGACTGCTTGGGTTTTTTTAACATCACAATTTGCTCTAACACAACATATGTAAGGAGAGAAAACCAGAAAATAATTATTGCAAACAGAAAATGAAACGATGTGTTTGAAATTAATGGATATATGGTCATGAAAGGAGTCTTCATTTGTTTTCTGTACTGAGCAGTTTAAATCTACCAACAACTTAACTTTAAATGGCTCATTCTACTTTAAACAATCTGATGTAGCAAGAAATGTAAATGCATTGCTGTAAAACACTATCATCAGCAGGCCGGAACCTACTTTGGTCTCTCTTTTCTCAATCAAACATCTGGGAATCAAAAACATCTGTAGACTGACATGGAGTTAAGACTTCCTCTCTAAGTGTCTTTGGCAAAACCACATAGATAGGCTGATTATCTTGCCCTGAAATTGCCCAAAAAGCAAAAATTTCCTTTATAGGAATCAGGCGAATTATAGGAAATGTCTTCAGAGACTACATACCATTCATTCATCATGTAATTATTACTACACTTACAAAGTTTTACTTTCGTTTCACATTTCTAAGTGTATCTCAGATTGATCATCTTTTCTCCTATGTTGCCCTGAAGCATAATCTAATAGCCAAAAGAACCAGTTTTAGAGTCATTTTTCCAAGACTCAGGTTCAAATAGTAATTTTGCTTCACCTAACATGGATGATGGAGTATGTCCAACCCCAAAAGGTTGGATAACTAGTGCACCTTCACATGTAATTAGAAACTGTACAGTGGCCACAAAGAGCAACCTAGCACTTTACACCACCTTCAAATTGTTGCATCAAGATATCTCGTGCAGGTTTTTTTGCAAGTAAAATGAACTCTTCAATACTAAGTGGTCCTCTGTTCACATTCTTTCAGTATTTTTAACGCACTAAGGGCCAACGCCAAGCAAATGGCAGGTTTACTGGATTTCCCAAAACTTAAAGAAGTGATCTTTTGATTAAACTGATCTCAATCGCCTGCCAGCGATCCAAGCCTGCCTTAGATCAGGGGATTTCATGACCCCACTGCTGAGGCAGACCAGTGACTCCAGGCGGGCAGCACCACCTCCGGCTGCCAAGGGCTCCAGTCGGGCACTTCATTCCTTCCACGAGGACGTTACCCAAGCGGTCTGAACCCATCCAGTCGAATCCGATGTTTCCGATTCACTTTAAATGACATTTAAATAATTTTAAGCCTCTCCCCATTCCCCCAAATTGCGTGACTGGCAACGATACTCTGCGCACGCTTTATGTACTTTATGTAAAAACAAGCCCTTCGGGCTTCCTCAAGAGCCCAAGAGGTCCCGAAGAGACGCAGACTCTCCCGATCTCAAGACCCGGCGCCCTTCTGCTGCTGCCCGCCGGGGGTGGCGAGGAGCGGCCGCCAGCCGAGCCGCGCCACCTCCCGCTACCAGGGGAACCCCATCCTCGCCCTTCCCCTTCCCCCGGCACGCCGGGCGCCCCGCAGTGCCAGCGGTCGCAGGGAGCGGGGACAGGGAGCCGGGAGCGCGCACAGGGTGCACGGAGTGGGCACAGGGAGCAGGGAGCGGGCACAGGAAGCAAGCACAGGGAACCGGAGCGAGCAGCCGGAGCCGGGATCGGGCAGCTGGAGCACGGAGCAGGCGCCGGGCCCGAGCGCCTGCGCGGCGGGAGCGGGGCGGTGCCACGGCGCGTCCCCGCGGGCGGGCAGGGAGCCCTTCCCCTTCCCTTCCCTTCCCTTCCCTGCCCCGGGCCTCCCCCACCGATTCCCGCTGCCCCGCGTCCCTCGCAGGGCGCCGGGCCGGCGCGGGGGTCTGTGCGCCGCGGCGCAGGGAGGGAGGGAAGGAAGGAAGGAAGGAGAGAGGGAGGCGGGGAGGGAGAGAGAGAGAGAGAGAAAGGCTGAGCCAGATCTTCATGCCACTGCAGGCAGCAGCAGCAGCAGGTAAAACCAGCCCCAGAGCATCTGCTCCCCTTCACCCGCTTGCCCCCCTCCCCGCCGGCCGCCCCGCAGACACTGTGCGCCGCCCCTCGCCCCGGGCCCCGCCGGGCCCTGTCCTCGGCCGCGGGTGGCGGCGGCGGGGCCGGGGGGGCGCCGAGGCCTGCGCGCCCCGCTCCCCGCAGCTCCCGGCCTGTCCCGCCCGCCCCCGGCGGGGCTCCCGCCGCGGCCCGGGGCGTGCCCGGCGCAGGTGCTCCCGGCGGGCGGCTGTGCAGCCAGAGCCTCGCTGCTGGGAGGTGAGAGCAGGGAGGGAGGAGGAAGCAGATTTGTCACAAGGTTTTCCCCTTTGGGTTGGTTTTTTTTTTTTCTTTTTTTTTTTTTTTTAATTGTTGTTGGTGATTCCGGCGGCAGAAGAGGGAAGTTGAAGGTCTTCGGGTTTATTTTTTTTTCCCTCCAGGCCTTGAAAAGAGAGTTTTTAGGAGCAGCTTGGTTTCGCTCCAGTGTTCCTGCCCCAGAGCCTCTCTTCCTCCCTGTTCTCACCTGCCTGGCTCAGTTTGTGCTAGCTGTCCAGTTCATTGCCATCAGTGGTAGATGTTTAACCATCACACATGTTTTTCTTTAGGATACAGGAGTTCAAGGGGTGTACAAGTTTGCATTTTAGTGCAAGGGCTGCAGTTAGCATATTTTAGCTGTTTGAGAATTTTATACGCTTAGGTTGCTATACCGTACTTATCAGTAGTTTAGTTTAGCTACATGTCCTGTGGTATTACACATCCTGGAAGCTTTATGGTCTGCTTTTAAGAGAGAGTTCCATCGTATTGGCATAGCATTGCTTTGGTGGTATATACATGTGAAAGAGGTAAACGTGTGAAAGAATCGTGTTCTGAAATGTACTGAGAGACAAGAATACATTTCTAGTTATTCCATTCAGCTCCACAGCATCCATTCTCCACTTTACTCTCGGTAATCTTGCTTACTTTCCCTTACAAAGCACTCTGAAACTTGGTTGAAAAGCACCACATAAGTCTCCTCAGACCAGTGAAACTTCATTAAAGTCCTTATTTGTCAGTTCTGTTACTTGTCATGCACTAATTCAGCTATTTACTGATGATACTTTCCTCTGTGAAACCTAAAGATTCCAAAATATGTTCCAATTATGTGGGCCTGTTGTTGCTATTGAAAAGATTTTAAGAATTTGAGGTTTATGCAACATTCCATTAAATTAGTTCATCCCACCTCTCTCTAAATCATCATCCACTTTATATTTGCAACTCAGAGGTTGAAATAATACACTGTAAGATCTAAAACTGTGCAGTAAGAACTGCAAGTAAGATTGTGAGGGATAATGATTTCTTTTTTTGAAGCTAGATTGTTTTTTTAAATTTTTGTTAATGTAATAACTGAGCTAACACAATTGTGATTACCAGTTGTCAGACTTTTTTTTTTCACTGCCATGTGGCCCATGTTTGGCCTAAATGCTGTAACTCTGAGAGTCATGTGGATGTATATAAATAGGAGTGATTGCTAAAGTTATTGCAATTAATGTTGTGTTGTAATAGCTTCAGAATGTCAGGTAAACACATACACAGCCTACTCCAAATAAGCTGGTGAATTTCTAAACTTTTTTGTGTATTTTCTGATTTGAAATTGGTAACTCGGCTATTGAGCCAAGAACAGCAGCTTACTCTTGTATGCCTTGTGAAGCCATATAGCGAATTTCAGTGCATAGCAAAATATGAGACCACAAGGAATTGCTACATTTATATGTAACTGCTTACTGGGAACGTGCTGCATTTTTTTTCCCCTCTAGATTTTATAATGATTTTATAATTTAGGTACTACAGATATGGTTAACTCCTGTGAAAACTGAACATCTCAAAAGATATTAATGGCGTTCTTTTATTAATGAGATGAAAACAAGGGTCTGTTCTCTAGCTTTGTGGATGGGAAGGCAACTAAATAAGGCTTGTACTGGTAGCTTTGTTCAACAATTAATTAAAATTATGAGATTCTTGCATGTTTTGCTTCATTTCACCTTCTCATAAATCTGAGGAGAGCCACAAACTTGATTTTTTACAAACAATTTCTATGTTTAAGCTGCAGTATTAGTAAAGCTCACTTGTCACTCAGAAATGGTTTAGAGGTTTTCTGAAAGTATTGTGCCACCTGCTAGAAAGACACTTACCTTTGAGAAAAGTAAGTGAAAACATTCCTCTCACATTTTTCTTTCTTTGCATAACAGCGTTGGCTTTACTGGAGTGTTCTTTTCTCTTTTGCTTGCACTTGCATCTTTTAGACTTTGGTACCTCATATGTACCTTGATGTGCAAGAGAAATGTGATATGGTGGAAATGTGTTACACATTCTCTGCCTGCCTATGATTTACACTAATGTAGAGATCATCTTTGCTGTCTCCGGGTTGATGTTGCTATTACAACTTCTTTTTTCACTGGGGAAGGGCTGCAAAGAACAGGTTTACACTTGGCCTTGAAAGGAATTCTGTTGAGGAAGCCTTAGAAAGTTTACTTTGCGCTCCATCCTTAGGAGTCTTATCTTAAACTGTTAGGTATGCTGCTGTAATTGACAACAGCTGTTGCTGAGAATTGTGGAGGATAGACAGTTTCTGAGATAATCAGTTGCTAGTCCATTTGAGGCTTTGTTGATTAGCGCGTGTAAGAGCATTTTAGATCAGGAGCCAGTGATGTCTGCTGAGTGCAAATGTGGTATGTTATCTAAACTGTTTGACTTAGACTCTACACTGCTCTGTAGTAAATAAGGTATAGGGTTTGTGTGCTTTTTCTTTCAGCCCAGAAAGGGCCCAAAGCAGTTCAGCTGAGTTGTGCTTTCAGAGGAGGAGGATAAACATGATAGGAGTTGCTTGCCTGTCTTTGGTTATTAGGTTAGTGAGGCTGGAACTGTGGTTTTGACCCCCAGAAGTAGGGGCATAGCTGCTACCATTTCCATTTTAGAAAGGTTGTTATTGTGGTCTGTGTTTTACTTAAGGATGTTTTTATCGCTTACCCAAATGTCTTTATTTTTCTGATGTTGCAACTTCTGTGATTAACTACTTTTACAAAAAGAACTTGAAAATTATGCAGTTTGATGTCTGCCCATTATAATCTGGTAATTCCTACTCTTTTTAGTGATGTTAAATAGAAAGAAGCACGATTACTCTAAATCTTCTGGGAATCCGTGTATGACATTCTTTGAGGAGAAATGGTTGACTGTATTTGTACTCTGACCGTTGAAATAAGCAAGAGGCAAGCTGGAGCAGTTAGTCAAAGTACATCCAGACCTTGGAGACGAACATTCAACATTTAGAGTTTATTTTTGGTAAAAGTTGATGAACTACCAAACAGAATACAAACGGATATTTTGCCCCTGTTAATGGTTAGGTGTAGATTTTCCAAAAGCACTGACCTGAAGTTTGTTGGAAATACTTAGAAGAATCACATATCACTGATACTGAACTGAACAGAGCAGAAATAAGACAGTATCATGGTGTTCTGTTTAAAAAACACCAACTTTTTTTTTCTGTACCATTTAGTTTGAGAGGCTTTTTGTTGTGTTAACAGGACTGGCAAATCATTATTTTAGGTTTATTAAAGACCACTATTACCACACTACTAATTAATCTAGTTGTATGTGTGAAAAGTTCATGTTCTTGCTTAAAGTGACTTGCATTTAGTATTGCATCTATCTTAATACATGAATGTTTCACCTTAAATGTACTACAGTGTCAGTTTTTGTCTCAGTGAGTTTGATTTCTAAACTTCTAGTTGGCTAAGCTGTTTTTTTTTTTTTTTTTTTTTAAGTGTATCAAGATAGTGAGAATCTACCATTTACTTTTCTGGATGACTTGTTTCAGTGATTCATCTTTGCCACTATTTAAAAATAAGGCATGCAATTACTGTTTGAATACATTTGAATGCATCTGTCTTTCACTGGTTCTTGTTATCTCATCTGAATTCTCTATCATATCAGACTGCCTTAAAACTTGATGTGTCCCTTTGACACTGTGTTTTCACTCCTCTCATGGTGGCAGTCCCTAGCATTTAAAGACAGATACAGATTTTTAAAATACGTAGTTTTAAAAGAACATCAGCAGATCATAGATTTGCTGGGCTGACTACTCTGGGATAAGTTTAACTAGTATGCTGATTTAAAATGTCTGTCTCACAATGTTTTTTAACATCTGATCTGGAACATCTGCTTAACAAATGAGTTGGAAAGAAAATCAATATAATGTGATACGATTATACCATTTTGAATCTTTCCAACTATAGAATGAAAGTATTTATTGACTATTTTTGATCCTTCTCTACGATTTTTAACACTTGTGCCACCTCTGTCAAGTCAAGAGCCTCTGCTGTTTTTGTGTGGTTGGTACCACTCTTGGTGGTGTCATAGGTGGATGTTTTATGTCCCTCAGATTCTACACTCTGTAATGGTAATTTATGTCGATGCTGATCCAGCCTTCCATATTCTACCTTGTTGATTCCACCTTTATTTTTTTTAACTTACACTTCTTTTAAGCAACTAGGATGAACTGTAGCTAAAATTGTCCTTTTTATTAGCTTTAGAATTGCCTCACCAAAGATAAAAGCACTCTTAGGGAAGTTTCCATTTACATGTTTTTCTATCTAAGATTTTTCTTCCTGATGAATTTTGTTCATAACACTTTTTAGCTTCTGAAATTTTGAAAACTCAGGAATATGAGCATCTGTGTGCCTTGTATGTTTACATAAATGTCAGTAATCTCTATCTGGCTATGTAATCTATCACGATCAGTAATTCTTAGACTATGCCCTATTTCTACCACAGTGACTTACTCATTTTAGCTGGTTTAATGGAATATATTATAATTTCTCTTTATTGGTTATGGTGAATGCTGTTAGAAAACTGTTGCTAATAATTTTTTAAAACTGATGTTTTTACTGTTGACAACTTAAGATTCTGAGATATTAGTTTTCATTATTAAAGATTTCAGTTTGACATTTTTCTTTT